GTATCTTTTGCCAACCTAGTGAAAACTCAGGCAAATTATAATGCTGAAAAATCATGTTTTGCACATCATCAATAGTGTTTTCTTTGACTTTAAGGAGGCTCAGATCTCTGGAGACTCTTTTCTTAGGAGTGTGCATGGATCTGACTGACCAGATATACATATGCCAGTCACAGCAGAGTTGAGTGTACTGCAGGCAGAGGACCTGGACAAGGAGTGCCATTTTCTGTGACTGTTTTTTCTGAATGTCTCATGCCAGGTTCTGACTCAACAGTAGAGCTGAGACCAGTGAACCTATTTGGTGTCTGTTCTGAGGGACATCCATTTCCCTCACTGGTGTCCGGACAGTATGGAGGAGAGAAAAATCCGGATTCACATATAAAAGGGATGAAACCTAGATCAAAGGCAGAAAGGAAAGTGTTAATTGAGAAATAGGTTCTGGAGAAGACAGAGTTTGGAGCAGGAAGAGGAAAGGTTGTAGGGTAGGGAACTGGCAGACTACTTGAGTAGGGACCATGGGATTAGAAACAGCACTGGGACTGGCTTAGACCATGAGACTTGCCACACAAGAAGCAAGAGGGCTAGGAACAACTTGTTAAAAGAAAAGCAAGGAGACCAACCTGTCAACACGTAATTTTCTAGAAAAATAGAATCTATTTTTTTATGTATCCTTTTATTTGTTTTAGGGAACTGGCAGACTACTTGAGTAGGGACCATGGGATTAGAAACAGCACTGGGACTGGCTTAGACCATGAGACTTGCCACACAAGAAGCAAGAGGGCTAGGAACAACTTGTTAAAAGAAAAGCAAGGAGACCAACCTGTCAACACGTAATTTTCTAGAAAAATAGAATCTATTTTTTTATGTATCCTTTTATTTGTTTTGGTATGCTGCATGTCAATGGTTGCCATATTTATTTCTGAATCAAGTAACATCATGATGCTGATGAAAGCACTTCCTGTTTCTCACTACAGTATTTCCCAAGAGAACATGTACCATACACTGTGAAAAGAATACATTTTTCAACCATGTTTCCTAGAGGTGACATTTCCCACATGCTCAGTGGCAAGTAGCCTTAGCATTGAAAATCTTGTAGACACAGTGAATCTCATGCTAAGCAGGTACTCGTTTATGAGAATACATGCTGTCACTCTAAGGTTGAAAAGTCTTTGCTATATTAGGCATATTCTTGTAAGTATAATGGAGAGGTTCATAATGGGAATGCCATCTTTTTTATCAAATACAGCCGATACTAAGGTCCTCATTTTGATGGTGCACAGTGTTTAGGTAACATCTGTTAGCATGGATCTGTCAGCATTCCCATCATAAACCAATCTTTTCAGAAAGGCATAGTGTGGGTGCAAACCTTAAACAAGCTTTAAGTTCTTTGTCTGTAAATAATGGATCCACACAATATGTGTGCTGTAGATACAGAATCATAGAATCATAGAATCACTGGGTTGGAAAAGACCTTAGAGATCATCCAGTCCAACCAGATCTGTCTGCCACTAAACCATATCTCTCAGCACCTCATCCACCCGTCTCTTAAACACATCCAGGGACGGTGACTCCACCACCTCCCTGGGCAGCCTGTTCCAGTGCGTGATAACCCTTTCGGTGAAGAACTTCTTCCTTACATCCAATCTAAACCTCCCCCGGCGCAGCTTGAGACCATTATCATTGGAGAAATTTCATTTGATCATGTAGCTGAAAAATAATATGGGGTAACTCAGAGATAAATTTAAGGATGTATATGTGACTGTCTTAGACAATTCCCTGCCTTTTGAATGTTGTGCTTCTTTAACATTCTTAATTTTAAGTATATGCATTAAAGTGGCATGTGACTGTGCGATATGTATTTCTAGATTCTATGTGTCTCTTCATAGTAAAGTGGAAATAGCCTGTATATGTGTGTGTGTTACTGGAGCGTGGGTATCTAAGAGTATGTTGGAACTGGGGGAAACAAAGAAAGTGAGAGAGGGAAAAGGCTTTTAAACTGCATAAAACTGTGCAGCACCCAGCACGTTGTTCCTGATACTTTGTGCACATCATAGCAATGAGATAGCTTGTGAGCTTACAGGTTTTGCTGGACCGAATCCAGAGTGCCTAGTGTGTACAGCATTGCTTCCACTAGGAGAGGAGTTTTCGTATGGATAATCACATGCTATTGCTTTCCAGTGCCCGTTGCCATTGCAGGATAGGCCCATCCTTAATGCAGACTGCTCGCCGCATACGCAGTGGCAATACTAGAGGTCAGATCACAACTAGCCCTGTGCTGGTTGTCCCACCTGAAGGAGCACACCTTAAGCAAGCTGTGTTTGCACAGCCTGCAGAGTATGGCTCCTAAGGCTGCCTAGCAGTTGTGGCTCGTGGTGTGGGCAGGCGAGG